GTAGCCAGCCATAACTATAAACTGAGGTGCATGGAACGCTATTAACTTCCTACTGAAGTGGTACCTATTTATCTATTCTAGTTTGCATGCTAGGTGGGAGGAGGTGAGGTGAGTAGCAGATTTTCTAGTTTCACATTGTAGTCTACATCTCTGATATTTCCAACCATAATTAATCAGATCTGAATTTCTTTAGCTTTTCAAGATTAGCCATAATCAGTCTGGTTTTACTTAATTGAGGGTTAATGAATTAGAATAAATCTGCGTTGTTATTTTCAGTTTTTAGGAATATCTATGCAAACTGGCAAATTTTCTGTCCTATTCTAAAAAAAATAATCTTTAATGAGACAAATTGTTCTTAAGTGTATCTATTTTCTATCTGGCTTCCAATGTTGCCAGGTGGTTTGGAAGAGAAAAATTAGCTGGATTATGTTGTGGTTAGTACCTGTCCCACCAAAAGTACACAGAACTGAATCTCCTAATTTGGTTTCTTTGTTTTGTTTCTTCTATGTTTAATCTTATTATCTACTATTAAACATCACACTTAATCTGACTGACTGATAAATAAGGCTTATATTGACAGTATTAATTCATTCCTATTGATTTTATTCTTTAATCTATATAGGACAACAATTATAGCTATAGTCAGGTATTGAAGACATGAAGTATTAACAGTAGATAGTGTCTCTGGACATTGTATGCATCTTCGCCTTTTATATCCTTTATTTATACTACACTACACCTTCTTTCAAGCCTACTCCACTGGGCAGCAAGTTCTGAAAAATGTTGGAATTTGAACAGAAATCTTATTTTTATTAAATTAACAGAAGTTTGTGGGCCAACATGGTAATAAATTGTTCTCCTAAACAATAATTGTATAAAAGTTAATTGTTTGGCTTAGATTCATAGGTAAAACCATTAATATATAACTTTCTTTACTATGACATTTTTGGAGAGATAAATGCTATTGGAATTGTAGGAAGTTAACACTTACCCTTTTCCTAGAAGAATGAAATATTTTGGGAAATATTAAAAAGGCAGAATACTATATTTTCCTGGATGAGAAACATATTTTAAAGACAAAACAGCGTCCTGCCTCCCCCCACCTTTGTCAATGGGCCATTAAGGCCTTAGCCAAGATCACTCATTCCCTCCACTTTTGTCAATGGACCATCATCTGCAACACAGTAGGACCCATCTAGCAACAGAAACTCACCACATGCACCTGGGAAGATTATATTAGCCAGCAAGGCTAGCTAAAACCCCCACCCCCTGGGAGTCTGACAACCAATCTGGATACTCTTCCTGTGCCCCAGGAAGTTCAAAGCTCAGAGGGCATAAAACCAAGGCACACTCAGCATCTCAGTGTGCTGAGATGCCTTTTCTGTTCAGGAACTCAAACCATGTGATCCTGTCCACCATTAAGCCATCTTTCCAAGCAGTCTCCATGTTTCCAGTGTCTTTTCCCCCCACTTGGAGCTGAACCCAGAAGGATATTTCTTCCAACAGAATTTAGCAAAATTATATTAGAATTTATTTATTTTTCAAATAACAGAAGTTATTTCTTTCCATTTGTGTTAGACAAAATACTACATGATTGAAGATATTATATTTTGAAATGATTCCAATTAATCATTTCCTAATGATTGATTCCCTAATATCATCTTTCCTGAAACTATATGAACCCATAATATAATTATCTTCAATAATTAGTTTTCCAAAAGTCCCAATACATTTCCCTATTTTTTTAAAAAATGTATTGAAATATATTACAGAGTGTGCATGGCAATTAAGTTGATCCATAAATCAACTTTGTAGAACCATTACTGCATTGCATTGAATACAATGCAATAGTGCATTGAAGTATTTACTTCACTCAAAATCCCACTAGGTTCAATGAGATGTATTCCCTTGTCTTATTAATTTTATTGAATCCTGAAATTTTATTTTCTATAGTTCATGGCTTAACCATATACATGAGCTGCCCAATATTTTTTACCTCACAAAAACAGGAGAGGCTTCAGCTGGAAAGGAAGAAAACAAAGTTGGTCATGACCAAGGTAAAGTCTTCAAAATACAGAAAAGTAGAACCTCTAAATTTGGCAGAACCTCCAAGTTTACATTAAAATAAAAATAAGTAAGCATTGTTTGGCATGAATAAAATGCAGAATTTGGCATGAATAAAATGCATTGGCAAATCTCAGTGGGAACTACACTAAATCTCATCAATACAAAGGAGTAGGAAGATTCCTTTAAAAAAAATTCTGTGGAACTTCAGTGACATCCCTGATAAAAATTGAGCTATTAAAATAACCTTTCTGTATTTGTTGCCTGTATATTTGCAGTTTCAAGCGAATATCACACAACTTGCTAGTCCTATGTTGGCTTCCATTCAGTTGAGATCATTTATTAGATCTCCATCTTGCATTTTGCATTAGAGCTCAAGATTATCTTATAATTCTGTCAGGAACTAAAACCAAACATAGAAGATGTTACCTCTAGCAATGGTTATCCTAGAGAAATCTTGTGTGGAAAGTTAAAAGAATCAGAGGTGTTTGTGAGAGTGGCTGTGCTTTATACAGTTAGACCTGCTTAGCAACCACTTGTTCAGCTACTATTTGGTTACAATGGTGCTGAACAAGGATATTTACAAGCAGCCTTCAAATTTGCAGCTGTCCTCATGGTCAAGTTATATCAGTGTCCCATGATGATGCGATTGCCATTTGTTACCTTCACTACAGTGTAATGAATTTGGGGATGACCTTGGGCAATGAGGGAAAGAGAGGCTGCCTAGAAAAAAAAATCAGACAAGAGAGGGAAGAGGTCCCAAGGATTTAATTATCAGGGGAAGACACTTAAGAACTCGCTTGTGTTGACCCGATGGTTAAAAGAGGCAATGAGAATTTTGTATCTTCAGATTTGCAGGCAGGGGTGAAATTCAGCAGGTTCTGACAGGTTCTGGAGAACTGGTAGCAGAAATTTTGAGCAGTTCGGAGAACCGGTAGTGGAAATTTTGAGTAGTTCAGAGAACCAGCAAATACCACCTCTGGCTGGCCCCAGAGTGGAATGGGAATGGAGATTTTGCAGTATCCTTTCTCTGGAGTAGGGTGGGAATGGAGATTTTGCAGTTTGCTTCCCCTGGAGTGGGGTGGGAATAGAGATTTTGCAACATCCTTCCCCTGCAACGCCCACCAAGCAGGGCCGGATTTAGATGAAAAGAGGCCCTAGGCTATTCCACTTATGAGGCCCTTTCACCTATAGTGAAAGTGTAATTTTAATTTTGCTAACAATTTGAATGTAGGCCCCTCTTGATCTTGAGGCCCTAGGCTGAAGCCTAGTTAGCCTATAGGAAAATCCGGCCCTGCCACCAAGCCATGCCCACAGAACCAGTAGTAAAAAAAAACCTGGATTTCACCACTGTTTGCAGGGTTTTGTTAATGTACCCTTATAATAGAACAGATTTATATAATCTAGTCTTACTTCCTATCTGGTTTATCCAAAAGTCTGATAGGCAGCTTCTGCCAAGCAAAGTCAATGGGAAAAATGGCAAGAATTTGCAAGTTGTGGTAGTATGACATTGCATTTAATGACATCAGCCAAAACTAATGGGACTGCTGTTAAAAGTCAGCCCAATCACAATTTTTCACTTTATAGTCAATCTGGCAAACTTTCTGTCCTATTCTAAAAAAATGATCTTTCACTAATTGCTCTTAAATGTATCTATTTTCTATCTGGCTCCCAATGTTGCCAGGGGTTTTGGAAGAGAAAAATTAGCTGAGTTAATTTGTGGTAACATGATTGTAAGTGAATTTGGTTTCCCCATTGACTTTGCTTGTCAAAAGATTGCAAAAGGTGATCATATGACCACAGGACACTGCAACCATCATAAATATGAGTAAGATACCTAGCATCTGAATTTTGATCATGTGGCTATGGAGATGCTGCAACACTCCTGTGAAAAATGTCATTGGCCACTATTTTCAGTGCCATTGCAATTTCGGTCACTAAACAGTAGATTCTAAGTAAAGGACTACCTGTATGTTACCAGAAGCAATGGGAAAAGTACTATACTAAGTAAAACATTGGTATTTAATAGTTCATTAAATCAAGATTTTAGTCTATTCTAAAATTAAAGACTTGCATAAAATAGGAATGCTCAGGAAATTAATTTGTGTTTTTTATTTTTTAGATTAAGCCAAGGAAAGCACAGAACAATGATTTTAAGAAAACTAGTTTCAGAAAAATACAGCTCATGTCTATATGAGTTTGTTCCAATGTAGAATTGATGCCCTTTGGTATGTTTACTTCTATTTGATCTGTAGCTAATTATATATTTTCTGGATCATATTTTATTTTAGTTAAAGCTGCCATGGGAAAATATTTTTAAGCAGACAGGGACATTTTTTCATAGTAAAATGAAATTATTTTACTCAATATCTCATTTTAAACCTTCTTCTGTGAAGCCTTTCCAATACACATCTACATTCTAAAAATAAACCATGTCTCTACTTAACAATATACTATTCTCTTTGGGGCTGGTATAAGGAGACATTTACTCCCAGTAATTTTTAAAAACTGCAGTAGTTTATATGTAGAAATGTAGGAGGTGTGAATTGTTTATGCCAACCATTTTCGATCTGGGAATTTTTGATTGTGCTGTTTGAACTTTCATTCCAATTTATGGGGAGGGATACCAAGTTGGAAAAGCTTGCTACCCAAATGGCTTTTCTCCACATTAACTTGGAATTTGCTAGGCTTTGTCACCCATTATCTTCGAGGGAGATCAGATGATCTGCCATTCTTGCAGATTATGGAGGCCCCAACTGAAGTAGAGCCAGCTTTCAGCGGGGACAGCCCATGTTATGCAGATACTGTGTTTTACCACTCGCGGGGGGTGGACGGCAAAGACCCCCCTGCGAACTATTTCCGCCGCGCCTATATTTCTGGCGCTTCATTTACAAAGAGGCAAATTTGCCTCCGAAGGCCCCTTAAGGGCTACTCCGAAGGTAGGCAGTCGTGTGCCAAGACGGCCCGGAGATCCTCCTGCGGCGCCCAGGGAATCTCCGCTACCCGCTTTTATTTTTTCCCCGTCGCTTCGGGCTGCTTGCTTTCCTCCGCCTGGTTTCCGATCGCGGCGGTTCTTCGGCTCCTTTCCGCTGCTCAAGCCACACTGAGGCCTCCTCGGTGGGCTGCGGGCCGGACCCGCGAGAGAGGAAAGGACTGGCGACTTAACCGGGTCGCTGCTGACCGGGAGCCCACGGCAGACTGCCGCCGTAGTCCAGGAAGACAAGCAGAGATCGGCGGTGGGAGGAGAAAACACGAAACGTAACCAGGCCCTCTGGCTCCTCGAAGAACGCCGCTGCTGACGACAGCGGCGAGGCGAGCTTTGCATAGGGGAAGGGAGGTTTCGCTTCCAGCCGTGGCAGCCGCCAAGGTCCCTTTGCTCCTGACGAGAAGGGGAGGGGAGAGCCAATCGGTCCGCCGGTCGGCAGCCGCCTCCGCACCTGTTTCGGAGACCCCGCCCTGCGGCTGCCCAGAGGCACCCGCCCGCTCGGAGGAGGAAGAGGAGGAGGGGGGGCGACCACGACAACAACGGGGGAGTGTGGGTGCTGCCGGCGCCGAGCACCTGGCTCTGCCGCCGCCACCCCCCCCCCCAGAACCCCCGCTCCTCGTCTCTCGCCTTCCTTAGTCGGCCGCCCCTCGGGACTGCGAGTGGCGGGAAGAGCGGGGGCTCTGCGTGGCGAGTAGGAACCACAAGCAAGGGCCGGGTCAAGGAGCGGGTGGAGCCGGGGCTCGCTTCGGCGAAAAAGCCCCCTTCAAAGCCGTCGCTGTCTGGCACGGTGCCCGGAGCTTTCTTTTCCTTTTGCCTTCCCGTTTGTAGCCAGGAGTGAAAACTCAAAACTCTGTGCCGAAAACCCCGGTTGGCCGAAGAGGAGCTGTGGCGTGGGCGGCAGGATGAATCCCAATGTCACCTACGCCAGCCGCAAGCGGCGGAAACCCGTGCAGAAGATGTAAGGGGAATGTTTTGTCTGGGCGCTGAAGGAAGGAAGTCTTCGGGAGAGGGGAGGAGAGGGGGGAGGTGGACGGGCGCAATGTTTGGCGTGTCTTCGCTGCTCATCTGGGCTCCGGCCTCTGCCCTCCTTTATGAAGTGACACCTCTGACCCACTGCGGTGTCCATTGAAATATGTGGTGTCTTTCTCCTGGCCTCTTTGGCAGTTCTTTCCTGACTTGCAGCTTTGTGTTTTACTTTATTTCTCTGCCTCTTTTACGTGCTTTTAAGGGGACCAGAAGAATTCAGGGTTGCAGGCCTCATTCCGCTGTGCGCTCCTATTCCCATCTTTAAAAAGCAACAGAAACCCGGGCCGTGCTTTCTAAAAGCAAGAGACCCTACAAGCCGCAAAGGGTTTTCGGTGGCCTGAATAAGAGCTTTGCGCAATCTCTGCTCATCTCCTCCTTCTCCTCCCTGCCTGCCTCCCTCCCTCCCGCAGTCGCTTCTAGTAACTCCTGGGATGTTTGTAAATAATTAGTGAGCGACTGTTTTCGGCCTATATAAAAAGTTTGGTTTTAAGTCAATGGAACATTGATGAATATTTTTTTTAAATAAAGGAATATTGAGACCTGGGTATTGCTATTTAGATCCATAGGTAAAAGGTAGCATTTTAAACATGCCCAGAGGCTTTCTTAAAAGTATATGGACTTAGAATACACTGGTGTTGGATACAAGTTGATGGATAGTACAGTCCAAACCTCAATTCAGTGCCCTGGTTTTATGTGGCTCTGTTAAAGCCAGGTAGCTGATTAAGGTCAGAAGAAGCCTGACAAGTGGGAAAGGATGAAGCCATATGCTTTTAAATCACATGGCTGGATTTCCTAATCAAGAATTTGAGATATTTTAAATAATTACTGAAATTTTAAATAATTACTGAAAGTCTATGGCTTTTTGCTAAAGTTAGCTGTGGGCCCTGATTATTGTCATCTAATAGATTGCAATAATGCAGAGTGCACTTGGGCCACAGTTTTAGTATACATGTGCAGAAAGCCAGTTTGTGCAGGCTATAATCTGTAACTATACTGCTGGATTTCTCTGGTCTAAGGATTAATATTCACTCTACATCAGAATATTTGAAGTTTTCATTTATGCATTTTTTTTTATTTTATTCTTCTACTTTTAAAGCATTGAAGAGCAAATACAAGTACAGGTAGTCCTCGATTCACGACCACAATTGAGCCCAGAATTTATGTTCTTTGTGAGAAATTGTTTGAGTTTTGTCCCATTTATGACTTTTCTTGCCACATTTGTTAAGTGAATCCCTGCTGTTGTTAAATTAGTAATGGGATTGTTAAAGTGAATATGGCTTCCCCATTTACTTTGTTTGACAGAAGGTCACTAAAGGTGATCGTATGACCCTGGGACACTTGAACCGTCATAAATATGAACCAGTTGTCTAGCATCCAAATGTAAATCATGTGACCATGGGGATGCTGCAATGGTCATAAGTCACTTTTTTCACTTTTTGTAACTTTGAATGGTCACTAAATGAACTGTTGAAAATTGAGGACTACTTCTATAGCAACGGACATTTTATATTTGCAGATGATCAAGTATTGAAATCAGAATGAAAGAAGGGTAATACAGGTAGGCCTTAGCTTACAACAGCTCATTTAGTGAGTTTCACCAACTATTCTACTAGCAAACATGGATGACCTAAAGCTCTTTGGGACTTGACTCAACCTTTTGAAAAGCTCTGGATGTTTTTTGTCCTCTGATTCAAAGAGACCTACACAGATCTACACAGACTACATTCATAGTCAAATAATAGCTAGTTCTGTTTCTTTGATCTAATAATATAGGTAGTCCTTGAATTACAACAGTTCGTTTAGTGACTATTCAAAGTTACAATGGCACTGAAAAAAGATTAATGACCATTTTTCACACAAACGTTTCAGCATCCCTATGGTCACATCGCTACAATTCAGCCTTTTGGCAACTGACTCATTTATGATGGTTGCAGGGTTTTGCAACCTTCTGACAAGCAAGGTCAATGGGGAGTCCAGATTCATTTAATGACTGTGTTACTAACTTAACAACTGCAGTGATTCACTTAAATCTATTTTAAAAATTGTCTTAACATCTGCAAAACTTTTATGTGGGGGTGGGGACTCTCAACTCCTAGCAACAGCTTGGAAAACTTCATGCAATTTTCTTGGCAGGATTTCAGAAGTGGTTTGCTATTGCCTACTTCTAGAGCTGGAAGAGACTGATTAGGCCAAGGATACCTAGGCAAAATTAGAATTCAGTTTCCTAATTACAGGAAGTCCTCAACTTACAAAAGTTGGTTTCGTGACCATTCAAAGTTACAACAGCATCATAATGATCATTTTTCAAAGTTACGATGTTTGCAGCATCTCTATGATAGATCATGTGATCAAAATTTGGACTCTTGGAAACTGGTTCATATTTATGACCATTGCTGGGGTCATGTGATCACCTTTTATGACCTTCTGATAAACAAAGTTAATGGGGAAGCCCGATTCACTTAACAACCAGGTTACTAACTTATCAACTGCAGTAATTCACTTAACAACTGTGTCAAGAAAGGTCATAAAATGGGGCAAAACTCACTTAACAAGTATCTCATTTAACAGATATTTTGGGTTCAATTGTGGTCGTAAGTCAAGGACTGGCTGTACTAGTCTGCATTAATCACTACACCATACGGGGTCTCTATGCAATATTTGCATCAGGTTTTAAGAATGTTCTTTATTTTATGAAATAAGTTAATCTAGGTATTCATATCAGGAAAGTATTGAAAAATCACGGTAGAATTAGTTAAATAACATTAATTTCTATATAATTATATATAAAAAGATTGTGGCATTGGGAATTTTTAAAAAATATCAATGAAGGTGTAAATTATTTAAAAAATATTTCACTGAAATTAGTAAAATTAACTTCATTGTTACTTGATTTTAGGTTGAGTGCTAAGATTATTTTCGTTTAAATAATCGTAATACGTAAATACTTTTCGTAAAATAATCTTAGCACAATTGACCTTAAATCTAAATCAAGTAATGCATGAAGTTTATTTTGATAATTTGATCATCTGATAATGTCAGATATGACAACTCTTTTCGGCATTATTAAATTACTAACGTGTTTACTGTCTAAGTAGGACTGCTGATGAAATATTCATTAGCATAACTGCATTGAGCCTACAGATATTTTCCAAAGTTTACCCCGAAAGATTATTGGTAGTCCTTGTCTTACAACCATTCATTTAGTAACATTTTGAAGTTATAAGGGCACTGAAAAAAGACAAAATCAGTCCTTGCAGTGTCCCCATGGTCACATGATCATATGTGGGCACTTAGCCACCAGCATATACTTAAGATGATTATAGTATACTAGAGCATTGTAATTACCATGTGCAACCTTCCTAAGGAACTTCTGACAAGCAGAGTTAGTGGGGAAAGCCAGATTCACTTAACAACTGCTAATTCACTTAACAATTGCAGTCAAAATATTATATATTGGTACAGTCACATATGACTCAATAATCACATCACTTAATGATGGAAATTACATGCCAACTGTGGTCATAAGTCAAAGACTATAAGTTCTTAAATTAGTAACATGTTTGTTAAGCGAATCTGGTTTCCCCATTGACTTTGCTTGTCAGAAGGTCGCAAAAAGGGAATCATGTGACTCCAGGACACGACAACTGTTATAAATGTGAGTCAGTTGTGAAGCTTCTGAATGTAAATCAGCTGACCATGGGAATGCTGCAACGGTCATAAGTGTGAAAAATAACAATAGCAATACCACTTAGACTTATATACCATTTCACAGTGCTTTATAGCCCTCTTTACAGAGTCCACATATTTCCCCGACAATCTCAGTCCTCATTTTACCAACCTCATAAGGATGGAAGACTGAATCAACCCTGAATCTGGTGAGACTCAGCAAATTAGCCTTCAATACTGTATTCTAACCACTGCACCAGCACGGTCATAAGCCATTTCTTTTCAGTGCCATTGTAACGGATACTAAATGAACTGTTATAAGTCAAGGACTACCTGTACATATTTCCAATAGTAGCTGACATATCAGGAGATGGGCCAGGCTCTGTGTTTCTCCACAATCACATAGCACGTTGTTATCCACTAAGGAGCCTCTATTTGTGCATATTGGTTTTACATTTAGGCATTCCAACTCAACCTGTTCAGGGTCCCCCAGAATAAGGCAAGTCAGATCCTTCAGCCATATTCTCCTTTAATGTTATTCCTTGGTCCATCTTTTAACAATATTTTGTTCTTGTGTATCCTGAAGACTGTCCATTCTTGCCATAAAGCTGCTCCTAGACCTGTGCCAGTGGGCTTGGGGCACCTGTCCATTCAGAGGAAGTCAAGGATCATTCTCTTGCTTAGTTCTCTTGCCATCTGTTGGTATTCCTTTGAGTCAGTTTGGTCTAGTGGTTATGGCATCAGACTAGAATCAGGGAGACCATGAGTTCTAGACCTGTCTTAACCATGAAAGCCAGCTGAGTGTCTTCAGGCTAGTCACTCTCTCTCACCTTGTAAGTTTGCTATTCTGGGAAAAATGGGAGGAGGAATGATATTAAGTATGTTCGTTGTCTTGAGGTATTTATAAAAAATAATGAAAGGGGGATATAAATAAAGAAATTCTCAAAGGGGATCATGAATACACAGACCAAATATTTATCATAGTGTAATTGTCCTCTGTAGTGCAAAAATGCATATGCTATTTATTTTTCGCATTCAAAATAGTTTGATCAGTATACTCCATGTGTGATTTTGCAGTATGATGGTGTCTGTGCTTATAAAGTGGCCTTAAGAGATGAGATATATTATATACTGGTTTCTAGACTTTATATAAAAGTAGTACACACCTATAAAATGAATGTTCCCAGAGTTTACCTTAGAGGTGACAGTTGTTTGTTATGCAATATTTACTATTAAGCAATATGGTTCGTTCTGTAAATAATAATG